AGGGGCATTTTAGCCAATATCTGTTGTCTTCTCGCGAGTTGTATGAAATGCAGTTATTTAATTTTTTTGAACATCACGTAATTAGCCAATCATTTTGTTTTTGCACCATACATTTGTGAAAATACTTGTGAAAATACTTGTGAAATATAGCACAATAACTAATGCTACATAATAAAAATTGTCGCGGCTGATGCTGAAAGGGTTTTCTAAGCTATATGAAAAATAAAAAATTATACCTACTTTTTTCTAAATCCAACAATGTCCTAAAAAAATTCATATTTATAATTCGCCAACTGGCCCAAAAATTTTTATAATTCGGGTCGGCATTTCAGCATCAGCCACATCGCCACATCAGCCGTGACAAATATTTTAAAAAACTACATACAATTGAAGTCTTCATATTCAAAAAAAAGTGATATTGTATCCTTAGTAGAATATCCAGACTTATGTGATTTCAGGGATTCGAACAATGAAAAATCCCAGCATTAATTTAGTCACAGATATAATTATTGGTTTTTTTATTCGTGACGATTTAGTTTAAAATTTCGATTAACCAATGAAATTTTACGATATCACGGGATGATCTACAAAAATTTCCAATTACAATAAAAGCTCACTATGCTGCTTTAGCATAGTGTTGCGATTTCAGGGATTTTTCATTGTTCGAACTTCGAACAATGAAAAATCCCTGAAATCGCATAAGTCGAGATACTCTACTTTAGCGTTATTAGAGAGTCAAGAATATGCGGTTTCAATTTAGTTTGTATTGTTTAAACAATAAGAAAATCGCCGAAAACGCATAGTTAGGATCACATTCAAAATACCAAATAAAATGAAATGGTAAAGACTTATTTATAAATTTTATATTGAATATTAGTTATATGATCATTGATGTATACGCGTTTCTATAATTTGTAAAGTTTTTGACTTAATATCTTTTAGAATAGATGTGCCTTAAGCATGGAGTAGCATTCATGTGAAGAGATAATAAATTATTAATTAGTAAAATTAACAGTGTTTTAAAATTACTTCATATACAAAGTCATTTAAATTTTGAGCAAATGATCAGGTCATTTACCATTTCTGGGTGTTACCATATTATAGATTCAATGGTGCAAGAATATTCGAATAATTCGAATAATAGTTCATATCTCTATCTATATTAAATATAGAGGAGGAAATGTATAATTTTGTTCAGAATATTTTTTAAATTTTGCATAAACAAGAATTGAGAAATTTTAAATAGGTAAAGCATTGGCAACAAGTGATTGTAATGATTACAAGAATTAAACATACTCATATCCTGAAACAATTAACAGCTCTTTAGAAATTTCTCCTGTTAGCTTTGTAATATTATATATAAAAATGCTTTCAATAAAACATTTGGACGTCCATTTAAACTTTAAAGAGCTCTCCCAAATTTCAATATATTTTTAGAAATATATTAATGCGCCTCTTTAATATTTCAAAATTTTACCTACTAGACTTATTTTTCAATATAATGTAACTAATATCCTTTTGATCACAAATATCATAAACATAACCAGGATAACAATTAATAAAAACTTTGAAATTAGCAAAATTCATTTGTTTAATGTTCATATTCTTAAACTAAATAAAATATTTAAAATTTTATCGTTATGAAAATTAGAATAATAATAATAATAATAATAATAATAATAATTACAATATATATCGAATCAAATGAATTATAAAAACTGTTAAATTATTGTTGCAGCTACTAAAAATGGCTAAAGTTGGAAATTTTAATTATTTGAATATGTTTTTTAAATAGTTAGGTTTAGAGTTAATTTTATAATTTTATAAAAAAGTATAAACGCCTCTATCGCCTTTCCATTCGCATTTAGAACAGCCACAATAGACGCAAAATTCTTTCTTAGTACCGTAACATTCTTCACATTCTGACCAGCCTGGTGAATCATCATCACTACAACCAAGATTTTCTTTCTGTTTTTTTATTAATATTAATAAAAAAAAATAATAATAATAAAATAAATAAATAATTGCCATTATTCTTACATAAGCACCAGGTGATACATTTTTATCAGATTGCGAAGACGACTTGTCATAGGAATCATCACTACCACCAAGATTTGCTTCCTGAGTTTTTTTAATTTTTTTTTATTAATCTTAAAAAATAAAAATAAAAATAAAATAAATATCGGTTTTGTATACCGATTTCGAATTTGATTGCTTAGTTGTTCGAAATCGGCATACAAAACTGATAATAAATAATTTCCATTATTCTTACACAAGCACCAGGCTAAGACGATTTGTCATGTGAATCATCACTACCACCAAGATTTTCTTCCTGAGTTTTTTTAATTTTTTTTATTAATCTTAAAAAATAAAAATAAAAATAAAAATAAAATAAATATCAGTTTTGTATACCGATTTTGAATTTGATTGCTTAGTTGTTCGAAATTGGTATACAAAACTGATAATAAATAATTTCCATTATTCTTATACAAGCAACAGGAGAAGACGATTTGTCACGTGAATCATCACTACCACCAAGATTTTCTTGCTGAGTTTTTGAAATTTTTTTTGTTAATACTATAATTAGTAAATAATTTGCCATTATTCTTCTTACATAAGCATTTTTATCAAATTGTGAGAACGATTCGTCACTATCTTGATTACTCTAAGTTTCATAAAATGTTAAAGATTGTTAAGACCGACATTACGATATGTGTACTTACATTTTCAATTATTACGGATTCTTTTCCACTGTACCCAGCAAATTCATTAATAATTAATTTTTCTGGTGCGTCCAATTTTAAAGTAGCGTTGTAACCATCAGATAAAGAAATGGTTGCTAATCTTAATGAGCTATCAAAAGTTATACCAACAACTTTTCTATAAGTTGCTTTCCAGATAAGATTGACCGAATCTCTAATGCTTTTTATAGCTTTAACCATTCTTCTTTAACATACATAGTATCATAGAATCAGAATTTATATAGATTTACAATCAACATTATGTAATGATATCATGTTAAGCTTATAATGATATCATGTTAAGCTTATATAGATTTACATTATCGTTATGTAATGAGCTTATATAGATTTACAATCAACATTATCATTATGTAATGATATGTTAAGCTTATATGGAATATACTCAAAAATATAATGACGAGTAAACTAGCTAAAACGATTGCTGCATTCTTTAGTAGTCTTGAGCCTCTTCTTTCTTTGGTGTTGAATTGTTTACCAGTTACTGTATTTCAATTTATAATTATAACAATAAGTATTCGACTCTAATCTAGATTATGTGATTTCAGTGATTTTTCATTGTTCGAACAATGAAAAATCTCTGAAATTGCATAAGTCTGAATACTCTACTTAGAGATGGAAAAGTTAGTTTAGGTTCAGTTTTGGTTCTAGAACCTATAGGTTCCAATTTAAAAACCTGGTTCTTAGGTTCTTGTTAAGTTATAAGACAGTTCAAAACTAGGTTTTAGCCAATCAAATTTATATATTTTTATAAAGTTACTATATATTATTTATTATATAAAAACCAATTTTTTTATTAAACTAGCTGGTTTCTAAATAAGTTATAAAACAAACTACTATAGTTTAATATATAGTAATAAAATTATTAAAATTTATTTAGTATATTTCATTATGAAATATGTATAAATTATTAATACTATAATTATAAGATATAAAATATACTGTAAATTATTAATGTTTGTGATATATTAAACTAATTTAATATTTTTACTACTACATGTTAGAACTACAATAATTTTTTTGTAAATTATTAAAAATTTAAGTAAAGTAATTTAATAAAAAATTGATTTTTTAATACTAATTATAAATTTTTTTTTTACTTTATTACTATTAAAAATATTTTTTTATATTAAAACCAATTATAAACCTAAGAACCTAGGTTCCAAAACCAGGTTCCAAAGTTCTGAACCTAGGAACTTTACCATCCCTAACTCTACTCTAATCGACTCACAGTAGGGTTGGAGGCACGGGAAATTTTTGAGGCATGCCCAGGGGGGCATGCCTTTGACAAGCGCATGCCCAGGCATGCCCCCTATAAAGATCATGATTGGCTAATTCATATGGATCGACTGACCAATAAATTGTGTAAGTTAGTTACACACAGATTCATATTTAAATCATGTGGCCTTTAGCCACGTAGTTTAGATATAAACCCGTAA